AAATAAATACAAATAAGAATAAAATAAAATAAAATAATAAGAAATTATGAAAGTGGAGGAAACCCATGGTAACAACGCAGATCGATTTCTTTGATTGGTGGTGAATTCACGGCAACTCGTACTTAGAATTGATGGCACTTCGTAAGTTGGCAGTGGAGTACGGTTATGGTGGCTCTTCTCGCAGATGTGTTTTCATTATGCAATATGTTGAATAGGGTTTCTATATTTTTCACATTCAAACAAAATATTTAGGATTTACTTTTCATATTAACAGAGTATATTCACTATTACCGATTATAATTCACTTACCTGGTCTCTCCCAAAAACGAGAATGAAATTCTTTAAAATATCGTTCATCAGTTCTACTCCTCTTTCCAGTTCTACTTCCAGTTATATACTGTTCCATTAACTGGTAAAATTTCAACGGAGTAGGTACAAGGTGTCATTATATATATTATCAATCAAAGATAGGCTAACGTAAAAAAAAATGTATTTCCTTGATATATGGACATGAAATAAACACTTACGGTATGATCTCTTATAAGATTTTTAAATCTATTATTACATTATTGTCCTGTATAAGTGCCCCCAAATCGTTCGTTGATTATATTTGCGATAGTATTCCAAAAATTCACTCTACTACTTCCAGGAATATCGTAGTACTCAGCATTTCGATTTCTTCTTTCGTCAATTAGAAAGCGCAATTGATCGTCAGTCCACATCACAAAAAAAATATTTAGTGAAGTAATGGTAATAGTATTTAACTGAGATACACTTACGATATGTTATTTTTCATAGAATTATATAAGAAAAAAATTTGTCGCATCTACATCGTATCTTCATCGCACCTTCATCGTGCTTATTTATGATCTAAAAGTATGGATCTAAATATAAGAACATCTTCGCACATCTTGAAATGATGATCCCAAATGAAACACCCCTTATCACCACGCACAAAAATTAATTATCGGAAAAAATGACCATTTAGGTCTGATTGTTTTATTAATACAATATAATGGAGTTAGTGTTAAAACACATATTTTTTAACTAGATTCAGTAATACATTTGCTGTTCCCTTAGCAGTAATAATATCACTAATTGCTTCGGGTGATAAGCGTGTTGTACCTAATCTTAATCTATATACAGAAAAAAATAAGTTACGCCAATATCAATACAGTTATATTTCATTTTTTTTTAATTCGAAGGTTAATATTGTGTTACGGTTTAATATAATAATAATTCACAAATTCAAAGGTTATGTACTTATCTTAGGTAAATTTTGATTAAATTGAGCGTAGATTTCTCCCCATTCTTTCATCAGATCATCAAGTCATGCAATACTTAAACCACTCTTTACTGCAACGTAATAACTCTTCACCAACTAACCTATCCCGATCTGTTAAAAATTTATGGTATTTTCTAGTATCTTCATTCCTTTTTATTTCTCCACGATAACAGCATATATCTCTCTCCAGATCACCAAGGAAGCATCCCATGGTCCATCTTTTTTTCTCAGCCTCTGTAATAACTGAAAATTTCTTGGGATCCATTTTATGTCGATGGCATATTGGCGTAAGCCAATCTCTGGTTAATAAAGGTGGATTTTGTTTGGTATCCCTCCCTGAGTTTCCGGTAAACTCTGTACAGCAATAATAACTTTCTTTTGATCGATATGAAAACGGCAATTAAGAAAATAGTGATCATTTTTACCTAGACAGCTCCAGTCATTCCATATTCCTAAACGTGTATGTACTTCTTTGCATATCGGACATTTGGCTTCTGGATCTGTATATTTAAACACATCTTGATACCATGCATTCGAATTAGTGTAAGACAAGAAAGGGAAGCATTTATATACTGTTTCATGGATTATACTTTTTTCTTCTGGAAATTTAGAAATTTTGATAACACAATCCTGTGAAAGGTAGTTATCAGTCTTTTCGATTGGTGAGATTTCAGAGGTTTCAGACTTTATCCAGGGATCGAGTCCAGTTTTTTTCTTATATCTTTTACAAAACCTAGAACAGATTTTATCTGTCAAAATGCTTGGCAATTCTGTCAATTTAGCTTCCCATTCCAAATATTCGGGGGTTAATGTTTTATTGGTATTTGTTTGTGTATTCATGTTGCTGTTTTATATGGTTTCCATCCTTTTAAATTAATAATAACCAACAAAAAAAATAAATATGTGTCCAGATTTAATATAGTAACTTTTTTTATTATATATATTTATCCATACAATAAGTGCGGGATATAAGATAGCGAAGCTGAAGCAAAGCTTCTAAAGTTTATGCGATTATCTCGATTTTAATTCCACGCTATTCACATTTAATAAAATAGGATCCAGTTTTATATATGTCTTTTATACCATAATCCTTATAATGATCTAACTTGCATAGCGGGCATAAAGATTCATCAGTAATTCCATAATAATCATCGTTTCTATTGCTACCTTCCCAATATAAATCAGGATATTGTTCTGCCATTTTATTACAGAAATCAGCACGGTTATAAGCTGGATTGGATGGAGTATTTACCTTAGTCTTTGGTAAAGATTCATCATCCTCACTACCATCAGAGTTAGAATCTGAAAAGCTATCAAATATATTTACGATTTCTGAAAATTCGCCATTCTCATTTACTATATCTTCCAAATTAGAGATTTGAGATGATAAGATAGAGGGAGTGGTTGTAATACTTACCTCGGTTTCTGGTAAAGTTTATTCAGTCACGTGCGCGTTACAATTTATAACGCCGATCATTTTTTGGTATTTAACCGAAGAGTCATCTATGCTAATAAATTTTTTAGGAAAACAAATTATAATATCTTGAA